TTATTCAAGCACCAAATTCAGTAGCCACACTGACCGGACCAACACGAGTACAGCTGTCATCGAGGAGAGATAAATATAGAAATAGTAGTTATGAAAATGTAAATGAAATTTATACTTTAATCTCATTTGGATAACGCTTATTAACGTGTTAAGTATAGATTCACCGTGTCGATTAATTTAACAAAACTGAATTTTAATTTGTTTTGAAATACATCACCTGTGGGAATCTCTTCATTACGACAGTTTCACTAATGTAGTTTTGTTAATGCGTTAATGGACATAGCCGTGAATTTTGAGGACTTCCATCTAGAGACACAAGCGTGCTTTTAGCGACAGTCATAAAATTAAATTCATTGCTTCCAAGTTCCTTGGAAAATTCAGAAATAATTTATCTTACTTCACATATCTTAACTCTTCCATCTTAACTTCTAGCAGCACCAGCAAAGGTTTTCAGTTAAAATAAAGGTGTTTAAAGTAAAAGTTGATTTACAACTTTATTTGGAAGTATGAGTTTATACATATATGCAACATATGTGAAGGTGCAGGTTAAAGTATCAAATAATACCTTTCATCCTATTTTAAAGTTTGATTTTATTTTACAAAGTTGAAATTTTTGCAACGCTATACAATGTATTACGATAATCTGGCGAACAACGATTTATCAGCACAATGACGTTATTTTGTGAAGTGGGGAACATACATATTTCGATATGATTCAATGTATTGTCCAAATATGTAGAATGTTTCCTCAAAAAAATATCCTTATTATGCTTATAAATCGTTGTTTCCCAATTTACTATTATATTAGCATAATATGCTTCCATACGCAAATATACATAGCATATTATTTATCTACAGTTCGATCTATCTACTTACAAAACAAAAAAATCCGGGGTTCGATTCCCTGAGGTGTACAGAATGCAGATAACCCATTGCGTAACTTTGCACTAAGAAAACAACAAATTTATTGTTAGAATTTATGAAAGGAATCGAAAACAACAACATCGATTGCGCATATTTTGGGCATATTCGTTTTTGTTTCTACTCTTCATCTGTATTTTGAATACGGCCAAAGCAATATCCGACAAGAAAATGAAAATCGGTAAAACACTAACTCTAAATAAGCGCTTTTGTGCAACATTCCTCTTGACTGGATGATGGAAGCAAAACAGCTGAACATAAAAGTAAAGACTTGAAAACCATAAAACTTTTGAGAAAAAAAATGTATGCACTCACGAACTTCTTGTATGTAGTAAAAGAGCTTTAAATACATTATTTTCTTATCACCAATATTTATGATCATATAGGTAACGCTGATGAAACTGTAAGAAAAAAGAAGAATGGAAATCCGATTATTGCCTAAGTCTTTTGGCAATATTTCAAGGAAGGCAAAGAAATAAAAGCGCTTTAATGTCTCAGGCTGAATAGTCGGAAACAAAGTGTCCTAAAACTGGTTTTGTCCATTAAAATTAATCTGTCTAGCCGAAGTAAATTGAGAGAAAGGGAATGCAATTTGTACAATTCAAAATCACAGTTATTTGACAAACAGGGAAACAACTGTGGGTTTTATTCATTCAATCATCTGTCTATCTATGTATGCTTCTATAACATTTTTCGTTTTTTATTAAAGAAAAAAAAATTAGTTTTAATTCATGCGACTACCTATTCAAAACTGTAAATATCTACCAACTGATTTTAAGCAGTTAATAACGCGTCTAACACTAACCAGTTAAAAGAATAGAAACTCGTTTCCTAAACTTAGAACTATCTATGATTTATCAGTTTAGTTATAGATTCCAGTCAAACATGTGTTAAATAAAAACTACAATTTAACTAGGACACTTATAGGATAGAAAAGGAAATTGACAGAGCTAACGTTTATGAAATTAGAAATATTTAGGAATGATCAGGAAATGTAAATTGTGATAGTTTACTAGATGATTGTCAATCATATCACGGGTATCCATTGTAGCCCACCCTAAAAACTTTTGAAATGCCAAATGGAATTTTGGAAAAAAAAGTTTTATATTGTAGGTAATAGACTGAAGTAGGTCGGAAATGGAACTTAACACAAATACCTAAGATATTTATGTTAAAACATACCTACATATGATAAGTGATAAAATATAATAACCTTGAATATATTTAGTGTGTAAATCTATTAATCGAATATCAGGGGTAATGACATAATAATTAGCATTACTGTTAGTGAAATCCAACATATTGCTTTCATCTTCCACGTGCCTCGTGTAGTATTATAGTATCTGAATAAGTCATATCTTCAACTACATAGAAAGAAAAATATAATGTTGAATAAGATCCAAATTCTTTATAAGTTTTGAAATGCCTCCTAAGTTAAGAAAACAGGTAACACCAAATCTGACGAAAAAGTGCTAAATAGTGAAATTATTATATTAATAGATATGATGAATAAAATATAGGAAATGCGTATAAATTCATTTTTAATATAATACAAGATATAATGCCAGCTAATATTTCTACTATGGCTCAATCTTATCAAAAGGAATGTTTATGAAATCAAAAAAGTCTGGAATTGAAGATCATTAAGTAATCACATTTTGGATTAGTTATCTTGGCCCGGTATGGCCAGGTGATTAGGGCGCTCGATTCGCAATCTGTGGGTCGCGGGTTCGAATCCCCGTCACACTAAACATGCTCGCCCTTTCAGT